TTAAGTAACTTGGAATCATTTGGCACCATATTCACGAGCGTGCCGTTAGCAACAGAAATCACATAACGAACGCAGTATCCATTAGGCACCCTTGAGGCCGTTTGGGAATCTTCCAAGATCGACTACCTACTGGCTGAGGTCAGAAACTCACCCTTACAAATCACGTACATCATAAATTTGGAGTTTCCCTCTGAAGCCGCAGGTTCGGGAGACTAATTTTCGTCCTACAGCTCAAAAATAAAACCCGGCGCTTCTAACCACACAGCTGATGTCACTGCTGCAAGAAACCTTTCCAACATCGGGGTGGTCCTGTACCGTTTTCGTTTTTCGAAAGCAGTCGAGGTGCGATGGGGTGACAACGAGAATTTTTCCAAATTTCAAGTCAGGGAGACAGGGTTGGTACGGAAATGGGTCAGATCGCAGTTCGTAGCCCCGGATGCGGAAGCTAACCTAACACTAAAACCCTAACCAAAACACTAACCCTAAAACCCTAACCCTAAAACATAACCCTAAACTTAACCCCAAAACCTAACGCTAAAACCCTGACCCCAAAACGCAAACCCTAACCCTAAAACTTACTCCTAGGCCTAACCCCAACCCTCACTAAGCCCAACAACCTGACCGAAGCAGGCAACCGGCCTAACTCAGTGGAAACACACCCACTGATAACAACTTTCCTTGGCAAGGGAAACACATCTACTGATTACAAGTACGTCAACAGTATCAACTCATACTGTCTGGCTGCGAACTGCGATCTTACGGGGAACTGTTTACTGTGATAATGGCAGTAGCTGCAGAAGTTCAACGACGTTGAAAGCCAGTTGTTGAGGTAGTGCTGTAGTCCTCCACCTGAAGTGTGAGTAAGCGTCTGTGTCATGTTCGGCTTCAGCCAACCATTGAAGACTAACATATCGATCGGCGTCATGGTATCGAGAAGTCGAAAGCCGATTCATGTGGAGTTAAGGTTTGGGATAGGTTTAGGGTAAAGATTTGAGGAACGGTTTAGTTTTATATAAGGGTTATTGTTGAGGTTAGGGCACAGGAATACTTTGCCCTTTCCGGAATTATGCGCAGGTCCACTCTTATTACTTGGGTGAGGCGTTTCTGTTCCCATGTCCTGTTTAGACGTCCACATATGTCGGTCCCACCCAGAATTTGCGCCACAGGTTTTTCACTG